GACAAACCCACAACTAATATCATACTCAACAGTGAAAAGCTGAAAGCATTTCCTCTAAAATCAGGAAGAACACAAAGATGTCCACTCTTGCCACTTTTATTCAACATACTTCTGGAAGTCCCAGTCACTGCAATCAGAGAAAAAAAGGCGGGGGCAGAATCCATACTGGAAAAGAAGTAAAACTGTTGCTGTTGCTATTTGCAGACCACATTATACTATACATAGAAAATCCTAAAGATGCTACCAGAAAACTTCTAGAGTTCATCAGTGATTGAGTCAAGTTGTAGGATAGAAACTTAACAAGAAATCTGCTGCATTCCTACACACTAACAATGAAAGATCAGAAAGAGAAAAGAAACAACCACATTCACTATCACATCAAAAAGAATAAAATACCTAGGAATAAACCTACCTTAGGAGATAAAAGACTTGCACTCTGAAAACTATGAGATGCTGATGAAAGAAATCAAAGATGACACAAACAGATGGAGAGATATACCATGTTCTGGGATTGGAAAAATCAATACTGTCAAAATGACTATACTAACCAATGCAATCTACAGATTCAATGAAAACCCTATCAAAGTATCAAAGGCATTTTCATAAAACTAGAACCAAAAATGTTTTAATTTCTATGGAAACACAAAAGATCCTGAAGAGCCAAAACAATCTGGAGGAAGTAAAGTATAGCTGGAGGAATCAGATTCATGATTTCAGACTGTACTACAAAGTTACAGTCATCAAGAGTAGGGTACTGGCATAAAAACAAACATACAAATCAACAGACAGGATAGAAAGCCTATAAATAAACCCACAGACCTATAGTCAATTAATCTATGATGGAGGCAAAAATACACAACGGAGAAAGATGGTCTCTTCAATAAGTGGTGCTTGAAAAACTGGACAGCTACATGTAAAAAAATAAAATGAGAATGTTCCCTAACACTACAGACAAAAATAAACTCAAAGTGAGTCAGAGACTTAAAAGCAAGTCTGGATACTAGAAAACTCCTACAGGAAAATATATGCAGGACACTCTGACATAAATTATAGCAGTATCCTATTGGATCCATCTCCTAGAGTAATAGAAATAAAAACAAAAATAAACAAATGGGGCCTAATTAAACTTAAAAGCTTTTGGAAAGCAAAGGAAACCATAAATAAAATGAAAAGACAACTACAGAATGGGAGAAAAAAATTTGTAAACAATGCAACCAACAAAGGATTAATCTCCAAAATATACAAATAGACTACACAGCTTAAATCAAAAATCAAACAACCCAATCAAAAACTGGGCAGAAGATGTAAATAGACACTTCTCCAAAGAAGATATACAGATGGCCAATAAACACATGAAAAGAACCCAACAATGCTCATTATTAGAGAAATGCAAGTCAAAATTACGAGGGGCTTCTCTGGTGGTCCAATGGTAATCTGCCTTCTAATACAAGGGACACAGGTCTGATCCCTCGTCATGCGACCCAATGGTTAGAGCAGTGAAGACAAGGAAGCAACCTAAATGTCTGTCGACAGATGAATGGACAGAGAAAATGTGGTACGTACATATGTAATACATATGTGTGTATGTATGTGTGTGTGTGTATATATATGTATGTATGTATATAATGGTATATTACTCAGCCATAAACAATGAAACATGCCATTTCAAGCAACATGGATGGACCTACAGATTATCATATGAACTGAAGCCAGAGAGAGAAAAAGACAAGTATCATATGGTATCAGTTATATGTGGAATCTAAAAAAATGATACAAATAAACTTATTTACAAAATAGAGACTCACAAAAGGGAGAGGGGTATGAATAAGTTAGGAGTTAGGGATTAAGATACACATACTACTATATATAAAATAGATAATCAACAAGGACCTACTGCATAGCACAGGGAACTAGACTCAGTATTTTGTAATAACTTGTAAGTGAAGAACCTGGAAAGACACACATAAGTGTGTATGTATATAACTGAACTGCTGTGCTGTACACCTGAAGCTAACATGATGCTGTCAATCAATCATACTTTGATAAAAATAAACTTAATTTTTTTAAAAAGAAAGAAAAAAAGAGAGGGAGGGAGCAAAAAGATTAGTGCACTAGAATTAATCAGGTGCACAGAATCAGTTTCTTCTGACCACTGAGAATCTGAGATTAGGAACCTTATCTGTCGTTTTCAACACTGCAGCCCCAGGACCTAGCCTAGCGTCTGGTATGTTTCTCAAAGAAAACGTAAGGATTAGTAAGTTTAAAATTCTTTCATTACCAAAATCTCCCAGTAACTGATGAAAAGAGTATGTCTTGCTCAGAGAGCCAGTCCTCCATAGAGGCCGAGCAGGGAGTGAGTGACTCCTGGGGCAAAAGCTTAGTCTTGCCTGAATAATCCTTATTGCCTTGCAGTATCTCTACTCTGATCTCCTTGACATCTCTAAGGTTACCCAGACTGCTTACACTGGATCCTTAAAAGGAAAAAACGTGAGCCTGAGTTCAGAGCTCAGTTCCCTGCATCAGCAGGACTCTACAGGGCCCAGGTAAGAGGTGTTAACGTCACAGGATGGCCGTTCAGGGATCCTGCAGAGGGAACCCTGCAAGTCCAGAAAGGACCCTCCCGGCGGGGTGAGTGCCCCGTTCAGGACGCAGGGTCCCAGGGACCAGGAATCAGAGACATGGCGCTCCCCTCTGGTTCCAGGCTCTGCCCCCTCTGCTGAAGAGGCAGAGGCCAAGCAACCCTTGGGCTGCCTCCCGGGCTGGAGCTGATGGGAAGTGACACGTGGGGAAGTCTGTGAAGCACTCTCGCCACACGGCAGGGCTGGCAGATGAGGGAACGCGGATGTGATCCGGCCAGACCTGAGGAGCCAGCGGTGCCCTCGCGTCCAAGCTGAGGGCCTGCTCTACAGCAAGGAGGGGGCGGGGGCGTGTGCCCTCTGGGGGCATGGGTGAGGCGGCGGTCACCTCACACGGCAGTGGTCACCTCACATGGCGGCGGTCACCTCACACCGCGGCAGTCACCTCACACCGCGGCGGTCACCTCACACAGCGGCGGTCACCTCACATGGCGGCGGTCACTTCACACCGTCACCTCACACCGTGGTGGTCACCTCACACGGCGGCAGTCACCTCACACGGTGGCGGTCACCTCACACAGCGGCGGTCACCTCACACCGTCACCTCACACCACGGAGGTCACCTCACACGGCGGTGATCACCTCTCACGGCGGCGGTCACCTCACATGGCGGAGGTCACCTCACACCGTGGCGGTCACCTCACACCACAGAGGTCACAGCTCCCAACGCCCCCAGGCTTCACCCAGCCCCTGCCCCCAGGTCCTGCTCTCCTTCTGTGGTAGAGGAGTGGAAACGAGAAACAGGAGAGGAGTAGCCCCTGGAAAACACCCACCCCTGCCTCCCCCAAAGTGATGCCACAACTGGAATTACCCCACAAATCTCTGACTTCCGGGTGTGAAAACCCTCAGCTGTTCACACTAACAGAGCTTACACTCACTTTCTGTCAAGGTTTCTTCAACTTGGCTCAAAATAACCTCTCACAAGTCTCCATAGTTTTGTCCTGGCAAATTTTGAAATGCTACTCTAACTGAGGGATTGGCAAACTACAATCAAACTACAGGCCAAATCCGGGTGTTCTGGTAAATACCATCTCACTGGCAAACAGCCCCACCAATCTGCCCACATGCTGCCTAGGGCCATCCTCACACGACAAAGGCGGTTTTGTAGTTGTAACTAAGCTTGGCCCTGGACGCCTAAAACATTCACTATCTTGCCCTTTAAGGAAAGGCTGCCAAACTCAACTCTAATTCTACCTGCCTCAAAATACAAAGGAAAAAAGTACAGTCCAAGCCTGCTAAATAAACTGCTTTTTTTCAAAACTGGCAAGATTTCACTTTTCAAAAAGGAATTCTAACAAACATCACATTTACAGAATCAGCACTTTTGTGTGTGGAACAAACCAAAAAAAGTATTTTCAGATTTATCATCAGTGGGAAAAGCATATTTTCCTACACATCCATAAATCTATTATGCTGAACTACTTTTACACAGACTCCTCAAAATCACACGAGCTTAAAGCTGAATCCACAAATACACCACTCTTGGCCGCAAAGCAATTTTCTGAAAGCAGAATAAGCTTGAAAAGTGGAGCCTAAATAATGCTCTCTTACATTAAATTCTATTATTAATACTAAAAACTAAACTACAGCAACAATATAATTTCTGACCATGTTTATGGAAGTGGATAATCCTTCTTTATATAAAATACATAGTTTTTTAACTGTTAAAAATACTTCTAAAACTAAGCTAAACACAAACCAAGTATTTGAAGAATCATTCAAAAGAAAAATCAAATATCTAATTTATGTTTTTAAAAGAAAATGGGGTTACTCCCGGAGGGAAAGGGGGAGGATCCTTTACTTCCCAGCCCGTGACACCCCTTCGGGTCGGTGGGTTAGCCCTTGCATGGTCTGAATATGGAGGAAAAATTCTGCACATGGGAAGGTAACGAGAGCTCATTCACCTTCCTTTCTCAGATGTTAGTGCTTTCTCCCTTTTGATGAAATAAGAAGGTGTTCTAAAGTAGGGATAAGAACAAGGACTTTGAGACATGGTGCCAAAAGAAAGAAAGAAAAGGCAAGCTACTCATAAAATTGAGGCTCTAAAGGAAGATCTCTTCCTAAAATAGCACCCTAAACCTTATGCCTGTGAGGTCAGTTCCCTCCGTTGCTACAACACTCCCTTCATCAGAAACAAACCCATCCATTCTGAGTTTCAAGGGAATGACTGGAGTATTCGGCTATTGTCTGTTCAAATCAGTTGTCCTATGTCACATTTGGAGAAGTTCTGGAGAGAAATATAACAAACCTGCCCGGACTGTCCCTCAAAAGGACTCAAGCTCATCTAAAGCCGCCGTGGTAAGCCGGGCCTAACCGTGTGCAGACTGCAAGCTAGGAGAACCTGCCCTGGCCCGAGATACAAACCTCCTGGCGAACGACATCTGCGGTTCTCTCCAAGTGTTCAGGTCTCCTTTTGGATTTCATTACACTTTAACAGAAAGTAAGATTGGTTATTTAAGTATTATCCTCCTAAAAATTAATTAAAGTATTAATTATCATGACTATCCAGTACCTGTGAGTGGAAAGGAACGCCATCCAGTACACAATATAACTGGCTGTCCAGGATACAACATTATGGATCCTAGAGAACAGCCCATGGGAATCTATAAACTAACTAAAGCTCACAACCCACTGACAGCAGGCACAGTTCAGAAAGATGCTACGACCTGCCTCCAACTGTTTTCAGCAGGTCCAGGCTCTTTGAAAATCCACCGCAAACGACACTGAAGGTGACCACTCACCTGCTCCGAGTGAGGTGGCGCAAAGCGCTGGGTGTCAATCTCAGCGGAGCCGCCTGAGTGCAGATGGCGCCCACAGAGCCTCGCAGCAGCCTGGGGATCACGACCACCATGGTGCTTCCTGGGAGACAACAAACTCAGAGTCACAACATTCCAAGAAAAAGGAGGGACATATCAGACTGTCTTAGGGGCAGGTGAAAAAGAGTTTGGATTTTTGCTGCTGATGCTATGAGCTGATCTAACAGCAAAACAATTAAAAACTTAACTTTACCCTGACAAAACTGCTGCTGCTATTTAGAGTTGAGTCAACTGATCCCCACAACACATGCATATGTATCAATAATTATCGGTGCTGTCAAATATTCCTGTCCTCTATTAGTTTCCAAAATCTTTGACCAAGCTCGTGGGACTGATCTTACACTATCACAGAAGAGGACAGCAGATTTTATAACTGCCTAGTAATTATATTCCGCCCAGAGCACCACGTAAGTCTTTAATATTTCTTATGAGATAAACAGAAAAGGGCAGACAAATTTTCTGAGGTTCACAGCAATGAGAATAAACAGACTCCAACCACAGGCAGTAAAATAAATAACACAAATACCTCAGTAAATGAAAAGAATGACAGAAAAGACTCAAAAGAGCACCTGTACAAAGCACCTATTCTACGAGTCCAGTCATATATAATACAAAAACAGAAAAAAATGAACCTGTGGAACTGGAAATCAAATGAGCAGTTACCCATGGTGAGGTGGCCATAACAAAGTTGTTTCTTAATCTGAATGTTGATTATATGGGTATTTTCATTTTGAAAAAAATTCCTCCAACACAAGAGGAGTTTCAGAGCAGTCAAAATACTCCAAATGGTACCATAATGATGGATACCTGTCATCATACGTTTGTCCACATCCACAGAACATACAACACCAAGAGTGAGCATGCTGTTAGACCTGGGATGGCTCTCCGAGTCAGTGCAGGTTCACCGATTATAACCAAGGCCCCACTCTGGTGGGGGCTGTGGACGATGGGGGGCTGTGCATATGTGGGGGCAGGCAGTAGAAGGGAAACCTCTGTACTTGCCCTCAATCTTGCTGTGAACCTAAAATTGCTCCCCCCCAAAAATTTTCTCTTAAAAATTCAACCGAGCAGTCTTAAGATTTATGTACTTCCGCTTACATGTCAAATTTCAAAATCAAGTTTAAAGAAAAAAAAAAAACCAGAAAGATTCTCTAACATATCAAATTCTAAAAACTACTGCCTATCAGGAAAACTACTCATTGGGAGTCAGATGATATATTTTTTTTGCTTCCTATCACTCTGTTTTTTCTCTGCTAATTCTTAAATCCTTCTTTGCTTAAAAGGGCTTCCCAGGTGATGCTAGTGGTAAAGAACTCACTTGCCAATGCAGGAGACATAAAAGACATGGGTTTGATCACTGGGCTGGGAAGATCCCCTGGGGAAGGGCATGGCAACCCACTCCAGTACTCTTGCCTAGAGAACCAAGGACACAGGCATCGAACCCTACAGTCAATGGGATCACAGAGAGTGGGACATGACTGAAGCAACGTAGCAAGCAAGCACACTGCTAAGGATGGCCACTTGTAACAAGTGATATTGCCACATATATCTGTCCTTTCCGATCTTAGTTGGCTTCAGAATAAATGAAAACGTATGTGAACAGTCTATTTCCTGAGCTCTTTAGGAGGTACCACATAAATGAACTGCAACAAATACAATGTTAGAAAATATTCAAGTGAAGTCTATATTCCTACTCCAAGGGAAGTGTGCTACATTCCTGCTCCACGCTCATTAATTTAGCCCTTCATGTGACCAATATTTATTATTAAGAGACCATCATGTAGCAGGCCCTGGGGCCACATGAACAAAACAAAGACCTTCGGGAGCGTGAAGATATTTTAGGAGATACAGGCGGGAAATGAAAGTAAATAAGTTGAGAGGTGACAATTATCATATGTAATTCATTCAGTTACATCGAAATCATACTAAAAAGACACTGCTCTCTAACTAGCCTTTGGATAAAAGACCTATTTCTTGCCATTGTGGATAAACATGCTACTTGCTGTTTTTCTCTCTAGTAAATGAACGAAGTAAAAGGCCTCTTTCCACCTCATGTAAAACGTAGTTTCTCTCCTCTGAATGTGCTAAACCAAAAATGGTATATTAATCACTGAAAGAAAGAAGGCAAAACTTAACTTCAGAGGGCCACGAGAGTTTGGGAGTCATTAGGTGTGTGGCTGGCTGGCTGGCTGACACGCAATATTCTGGAATCACACTGAGCCCTCCGGCATACACACGGGTTGGAACACAAACAGTGCCATTTACTGCAGCTCTGACCAAGCTCCTGCAACGGCAGAGACAACATGTCAGAACAGTGTTTGGGAAGCTGCTCAAAAGCACTGCCATCTCGGGACTTCCCTGGTGGCACAGCGGATGGGAGTCCACCGGCCAGTGCAGGGGTACGGGTTCAATCCCTGGTCCAGGAAGAGTCCACACGCCTAGGAGCGATGAAGCCCATGCGCCACGACTACTGAAGTCCGTGCTCCACAACCCCCGCTCACCACAACCAGAGAAAGCCACTGAGCCACAACAAAGAGCCTGCACAGCCAAAAACAGATAAACAGACTTGTTGAAAAAACAAACAAAAACTGCACCGTTTCTTAAGGGTAAAAGCAAAGGCTCACTGTAATAAGCAAGCACCACCTCACAGCCAGCCTACTCTCCATGACGCCCCCCTTCCATCCATTCCTCATGTTCCCACTTCTCTCGTCTGTTTCTCTTGCTGCTTCTCTCTTTCATCTTTCTTGTTGTTTCATCGCTCAGTCATGTCCGACTCTTTGTGACCCTATGTGCTATAGCCTGTCGAGCTCCCGTCCACGGGATTTCCCAGACAAGAGTACTGGAGCGGGTTGCCACGTCCTCCTCCAGGGCACCGCCCCCCCCCAGGAATCGAAGCCGCATCTCCTTCGGTGCAGGTGGATCCCTTACCGCTGAGCCCCCAGGGACGCCCACTCATCATTCCTGAACCGCCCGTGTCTCCCGCTGCTTAGGGTCCCCACCCCATGAACAACCAGACCAGTGGCTGGAACAGGTACACGTCATTTGGGGCCAACCTTCCTGACAAAATTTAACTGATAAGTAGGCAGACACGGACACATTGTTCTGCTCAATGTTTTGGACATCTATTGCTACAATAAGTTGTCCTCATCTAAGACACATCTTTTAGTGATTATACTGTTTGATCTACTGCTCAACTTGAACTGGAAAACAAAGAAAACTTAACTTTTAAAAGCTGTTTTCTTTCTAAAATCTTGTTTCTTAACAATAGTAATCATAACCAAGAGTGCCACCTACTGGCAAATAAAGGGTATTTTATCAAACTGTGTGCAAAGTACCTCCTAAAGCAATAGGGTATTTAAAGAAAAAACCTATCCATAATTTGAAACACAGCCAGTGGCTTCATATAGTCAATGAAAGTATTAATTAACTATAGAAAATTAACACATACTAGGTAATTTACTACTAGAGCTCATCAATGAATTTGGTAAGGTCCCAATATACAAAATTAATGCATAGAAATCTGTTGCATTCTGATACACTAACAATGAAAGATAAGAATGAGATATTAAGAAAAGAATTGCAATTACCATACGTCAAAAAGAATAAAATACTTAGGAATAAAGCTACCTTAGGAAATAAAAGACCTATACTCTTAAAACTACAGGAAGCTGATCAAAGAAATCAAAGATGACACAAACGGAAAGATAGACCATGTTGTTGGGTTAGAAGGATCAATACTGTCAAAATGACTATATGACCCAAGGCAATCTACAGATTCAACACACTCTCTATCAAATTACCAATGGAATTTTTCACAGAACTAGAACAAAAAAAATGTTTTAATTTGTACAGAAACACCAAAAAAACCTGAAGAACCAAAACAATCTTGAGAAAGAAATGCAGAGCTGAAGACTCCATGACTTCAGACTATACTACAAAGCTACAGTCATAAAAAGAGTATGGTACTGGCATAAAGACTAACATAGATCAGTGGAAGAGGATACAAAGCCCAGAAACAAACCCACGCACCCATGGTCAATTAATCTATGACAGAGGTAAGAATATACAATGGAGAAAAGATAGTCTCTCCAATAAGTGGGGCTGTGAAAACTGGACAGCTACATGCAAAAGAATGAAATTAGAACACTCCCTAACACCACACACAAAAATAAACTCAAAATGAATTAGAGACCTAAATATGAGACTGGATATTATAAAAATTGTGGAGGGAAACATAGACAGCACTCTCTTTGACAGAAATCACAGATTTTTTTTCAATCTGTCTCCTATAGTAATAAAAATAAAAACAAAAATAAGCAAATGGGACCTAATTAAACTTAAGAGCTTTTGCAAAGCAAAGGAAACCATAAACCAAGTAAAAAGACAACCCACAGAATGGGAGAAAATATTTGCAAACAATGTGACTGACCCACAAGGGCTTAATCTCCAAAATACACAAACAGCTCTATATTAAAAAAAATAACCCAATCAACTATGGGCATAAGATTAAACAGACATTTCCCCAAAGACACACAGACAGCAAAAAAAGCACATGAAAAGATGCTCAACATCACTAATTATGAGAGAAATGCAAATCAAAACTACAATGAGGTATAACCTCACACCAGTCAGAATGGCCATCAACAAAAAAGTCCACAAATACTAAATGCTAAAGAGGGTGCAGAAAAAGGAACAATTCTACACTATAGGTGGGGATGCAAATTGGTATAGCCTTTATGGAGAAGAGTATGGAGGCTCCTTAAAAAACTAAAAATAGAGCTACCATATAATCCTTCAATCCCACTCCTGGACATGTACCTGGAGAAAATCACAACTGAAAAGATACACACACTCCAATGCTCACTGCAGCACTATTTAGAAAGCCAAGACATGGGAGTAACCTAAATGTCCACTGAAAGATGAAATGGATACAAATGTGGATAAAATACACAATGGAATATTACTCAGCCTTTAAAAAAGAATGAAATAATGCTGTTTGCAGCAACACGGATGGACCTAAGATGAACATACGAGGTGAAGTCAGAGAAAGACACTCATATGGGATCACCTACACATGGATCTAAAGTATGATATAAATGAACTTATCGACAAAACAGAAACAGACTCACAGACACAGAAAACAAACTTATGGTTACCAAAGAGGAAGGGGGGTATATGTTAGGAGCTTGGGATTAACATACACACACTACTATATATAAAACAGATAACCAGTGAGGACCTACTGTATAACAAAGGGAATGATACTCAGCATTATGTAAAAACCTCTAAGGGAAGAGAACCTGATATATATACATGTATGTGTAATATAACTGAATCATTGTGGTGTTCACCTGAAACTAAAGGATATTGTAAGTCAACTATACTTCAATAAGGGCTTCCCAGGCAGCCTGCCAATGCAGAAGACACAAGAGATGCAGGTTCGATCCCCTGGAGTAGGAAATGGCAACCCACTGCAGTACTGCCTGGAAAATTCCATGGACAGAGGAGCCTGGCAGACTACAATCCAGGAGGTTGCAAAGAGTAGGACACAACTGAGCATGCATGCACTCATACGTCAATTAAAAAAATTAAAATGGCCACATTTTAATGCCACATTCAAAAAATAAAAAAGTAAACAATACAAAACAAAAAGGAAAAAACCTATCCATATCTTGGAATGCGTTCAATGGTTTTATTCATTCAATGTAAGCATTATTAACTATAGAAAATTAACATATATTAAGTAATTTTCAAAACCATACAAAAAAGAACATTCCATCAATGTTTGTATCCTCATTTGGGCCTTACCTCACCCAAAAGTTATTTTATTTCTGGAACAGAGAAAAGTATCATAAATACTCAATGAAACATATAGCCATTTAAGCAGGCCTACAAGCAACAGATTAAATTTAAGATTTAAAATTAACTATACTAGTTTCTGTTCAACAAGTACATTCAAATTATTTAACAATTACTGGGGCACCCAGCACTATTTTAGGTTGCGGAGACACAATAAAGAGCCAGACACAAGGCCTTTGCCATCACATGAAGCTTTTATCACAATGTCTACAGCAGCTAATAAACAGATAAGTAAAAGACACAGATCACAGTAAGTGTGCAAAGGAAATAAGTGATGGAGGCTGGGGAACATCAGGAAAGGTCTCTCTCAAAGGAGTCTGAGCTGAGACCTGAACGATGAGGAAGAGACAGCCAAGTGCAGAGCAAAGGAGCAGAGGCCCCGTCACAGAAACCAGGCTGGTGTGTGAGACGGAGCACACCCAGTGTGACTGGAGGGCAGACAGCCGGGGACCGTGACAGACGAGCCGCAGCGCGGGGACACGTGCCAGGCCACGGCAGGCCACGGCTGGGGTAGGCCTTCTGCTAAAGGCAAAGGGAGGCAACTGGAGGGTTTGAACAAACCAGAGGAGGGTCGTGATCTCATTCACACTAAAGGATCACTTCGGCTGCCTTGTAAAAAACAGACCAAGAGCTGAAGCAGGAAGTTCAGTGAGAAGGTGCCAGGCTAAGCTCAGACAGAATAAAACTAAGACAGAAACAGATGAACATGGACTAGATTTTGGAACCAGAGCCCTGTCACTTGCTGAGACAGGATGATGTGTGAAGAAGCAGTGAGAAAGAGAAAAAAAACCCAAGAGTGCCTCAAAGGGCACGAAGGCACAGAAATAAACTCAGAGCTAGCACGGCACTCGCTGATTCAGAATGCCAGGTGCCAGTCAGGAAGCACAGGGGTTCTCGGTGTTTGGAAAGGGGACCCAAGTGAAAGACAAGTTTCTGCGGAGCGCTGGACTCAGAACCTGCAGAACCAGGCTCAGATCTGACTCCTTTCTAGCTTTTCACCTTGGGCCACTTACCTCTTCCCCTTTTTAAAGGAAATGCCAAGACTATCTCACTGGGTTGCTGAAAGGGATACATGTCTGGGGAAATACTTGGCAGGCAGGAGGATCACTAAAAAAGAACCCCAATCTAGAGGGGCAGTGGGTTATGTGCCCAAAAAAACCTGCCCAGCCTGTCCTACAACAACACTCAAAACATAGCTGCTATGACATAAGTATGACCTAGTTCTAAATTCAATCTCATGCTAACAATTTTGGTCAGCATTGTTTTCCAAATCAGCAGCATTACGATTTATTAAAAAATTATTTTTA